CAATGCCATCATTGGGCACTTTGAATAGTTAACAGCTGCCTCTCAGACGAAGGATAGAGTTAGCTCTTTCTGGATGTTGTAGTCAGAAAGAGTGCAGCCATCTTCCAGCTGCTTGCCTGCAAAGATGAGCCTATACGAGTCAGGTGGGATGCCCTCCTTATCCTGGATCTTGGCCTTCACATACTCGATGGTATCGCTGGGCTCCACCTCCAGAGTGATGGTCTTGCCAGTTAGGTTCTTTACAGAGATTTGCATTTTGACCAGGCAGATGAATTTGTGTCACAAGGTTCTCCTCGAAAACTCTGGAAACTTCCTTGCATCGTCGACGCTGACTGGCGGGGCATCAATGTCGAGCATGGCACTGATTGGGGTCACCAATATGTTTTATGAAATGCTGCTGTTGTGTGCCAAGCAGACTACAACTCACAGCGACCTTACGAACAAAGGCTCTGAATCTTGTCCTAACCTTGAGCCAACCTCATCATCTCTGACACACCTGACCACACGGTTACAGTCACTCTATCTTGTAGAGAATTTTCTTCTCTTGTACTGACCCATCACTTTCAAGCATCATGTCCTACCATTGTTATTAAGTGCCATCCAGTTATCCTATGAACAAAAGATTGAACCCTGTCCTATCCTGTGTCATCCTTATCATCTCTGACACAATAGATAAAGTCCAGAGCAGCAGTCACTATGTTCAATCCATCTGGTGAAGGGTCTTTCTAAGACACTGTAATTTGGATATTGGGCAAGTATGCTTATATCATGAGCAAGAGCATTCACTGATTTTCCAACTTCATGTTATTTAATAATCTTTTGTTTCACTTTCAAAACAATACCTCTTTTGCTTCTTGCTGCTCTTATTATTAGCACTGGTTTGCTGATGTACTTCATGGTAATATGTTCAAAGGAAAATCAAATAACTCTACAATACTCAAAGGATGCATGATAAACAAGTTCTGATACTGCTGCCTATAAGCAGTAGCACTGTTACCTGTTAAAATTTTTTATTTATAAACAGGGAAAGTTCAAATTAAAATAATGATATAAAGTTCAGTAAGGTACATGTATGCAGAGCAGATTATCTGAGAGGCTGGGCTCTATGAGGAGAATTGTGGCATCAGGATTGGTGGAAGATCTATTAACAATCTGCGTTA